GTCTAGTCTAGATCACATTTTGGTATAGGATCACAATTTAGAATCATGCAGCTAGACAAATAAAGAAGTAGTATGAGGTTTCCCAATAAGAAATCGGACATTTCAAATGCAACACTAAAGTGCTATTCATTTTTTAACTTTCGAATATGTTATTATATAATATGATTTCTGATATTATTTTCAACTCATTCACATTACTCTTGCAGTCCCTTTTTGAAAAGACAGTTCTTTTTATTAAATTTCCCAATCAAGTAATTCACTAATTCCTTTGCACTTCGAAATAATTTTGGTCTAGTAAGATTGCTCCAAGAATTCGAAAAGGTGCTAACTGGGAAGAGCGGAATCAGATGAGTATGAAGAATGTGGTAGAGCCTCCCAATTTGATTCTTGAATTTTTAGAAGATCCGTTCTAATTTATGGGGCCGTGTAAGAACTGTTCTGTTGAATAATTAACACTTTCTATTAACTTAGTTGTTTGTCATTCAATTTCTGGCTCATTTCCCCTAAGTTTATTGACAATAAACTTCGGTTTTAACCCATTCAATCGATTTTAATAATTCCTAATGAAGCATTCCATTAATTAATTTTTTGAAATGTAGAGCTCTGTTTGTTTTGAAGACAAGCATTGTTTTCCCACTACTGTTGTCGGCCATGATCCACTTTTCATCCGCAGTTAGAATTTGGCTTATTAAGGGCGAAGTTTTTGTCGTCTTGGCAACAACGAAGTATTCATGTTACATCATTCACCTCTATTATATTGGGAGATTTGACGCGGGTGGAACCCAAATTCTCGTCCCATTCAATTCATCGGTGAGCTTAAAATTTACTTGCACAATGGACCATCAACTTGGGAATTTCTACGATAGTTCCTCCGTAGTCAACCGAAGATCCGATTCAGTCAGAATTTTTGATAACCCAGCATCAAAATTTTTTGCTTTCGATTCAGTGCTCAACATGTTATAATTCTGAATTTATAACCCGTAACTTTCAGTAATTTCCTTAATGACTCTGTAGGTGTTCAAGTCCTCATGAAAGAAAGGAAGAGCGCTGTTTCTCCATGACATTTTCTCCTTCTGCTCCGGAATTGGACTGTTTTTTTACTTAAAATTAAATTGAAAGTTATTGATCATAAATTATGCTGAGCAATGTTATAACTAGAAAAACGTACAGGGTTATTTCTTTCGCCATATTTGGATATTAAATGAACCCAATCATCTGCAATTGCTTATTGCCCCCCCCCCATCTCCCCTCACCCCTCCCCC